AGCCTGAGGCTGTCTGTCCTTCATTTCTCTGCGCTTCCACATTCTTCCACTTGCCCACTTTATGACATTAAATTCTCTGCATTTTCCTGGTTTTCTTCTTCACTATTTTTTTTATCTTGCTTGAGAACCTTTCATTCTCTCTAAGAAGCTGGAGTGTGAAAAAGCATCTATTTAGGCTCTTCCCCTTCTGCTTCCATTTGCAGCTGCTATAATTGGTCTCAGGCATGAAAAGAAAAGATGTAACTTATTCCAAAGGTCACTACACCACCCCCTAGGCAGGTGTATTCATTGGATCGCCAAATGTTTCTCTTCCATTTTTGCCTACTTTGACCCCAAGATTCAGAACGAAAAAATTTTGAAGTGTATTCTATTCAAGTTGGAGGGAAAAAGCAAAGGTCAGATAGAGAAATAACTAACCAAAGGTTATTGAATGAAGTACTTATTTGTGACTCTGTTTTTATGTTTCTTAAACATCTTTCTTTAAATGGTCTGGTTTTTCAAAAATTTTACACTAATGCTACTTACTATGCTTAACTGCTTAAATGTGATTTGGTGCTTTGAGACATTAGATTATATATATATTGGAATGTAAATGCTTGATAATGTTTGACTAAGCTAGCCTAAAGAAAGTCTGGCATTTCAGATAATGAGGTTATAAATCAGACCGCTAACAGAGAATGCACAGCTGCTATGTAAACCATAGGCACTTGAGTACTAAGTAATAGCAAATATCTCAGGATAAAGTCACTCTTCTGTGTCCCATTCTGTCTGTCTCCTGACAGCTGTGTTATCACAGGCAGCAACTTCATCTTTCACGTGTCTACACTCTCAATGATACCTGACATGCCAAAAATATGTAAATATAAAAATATAGTAAGTATCTTTTCAATTCTCATTTACTCTATGGCTCCCATTGTTTGATGAGTTTATAGGAGACTTGAGTCAAGAATCTACCAGAACCAGAAGGGGTTCCTGCTAGTGACCAGGTCTTCTATTTGAGCACAGACAGCACCAGTAGCTTGGACTTAAAAAGAGCTGTAGGAACAGACCCCGGGTGTGTCCCATGGCCCTGGACCCTCACCACCCGCCTGTCAGGACCTTCCTCAGTCAAGCTGTCAGGACTGGCTCCTTTGCTTCTTCCCCTCAGCTTCACCGAAGGCTATTCAAAGAGTGCCATCTGCAGGAAGAACTGAGGACTCATAAACACTCAATTTATTTCCTTCAAATGATAGTTGAAGAGTCTGTTTAAAATGTGTTCAGGAACTAGTAAACACAAAATTTAAAGTTTATTTTTTTAAATTTTATTTATTTTTAGAGAGAGAGGGGAAGGGAGAGAGAAGGAGCAGGGGGAACATCAATGTGTGGTTGCCTTTCATATGCCCTCTACTGGGGACCTGGTCTGCAACCCAGGCATGTGTCCTGACTGGGAATCAAACCAGTGACCCTTTGGTCCACAGGCTGGCACTCAACCCACTGAGCCACACTAGCCAGGGAAAAATGTAAAGTTTAATGAGAGATAATGGATTGCTACATTATTTCTTCACAGCTATCATTTATATTTATTTTAATAACGGCCATAAATGTCTTTGATGAAAACACAGGTGTACCCACTATGCCAAGAGCAGAAAGGTTTTGTCTGGGGACTTTACTCTGCCTCTCGCCCACCCCTGTGTGTAGCCAACTCCGCTTGAGGGCTGGTCCTGCAGAGGGCATATTTCTGGGAGCTGAACACAAGCAAACAGCTCTCTTCTTGCCTTGATTCAAGTCAATTTTTTAAACCTGAGTATAGAGAATGGGAGCTCAGAATTCCCTTCTCATATCATCCTCAGGTCAAGTAATCATGCAAATTATAAAACTGAAAATGTTTTTTTTTTCACTATATCATGACCCTTTTTAGTACTACTGACAAGTGACGCCCCAGCCTCCTGCTTCACACCGTGTGTGACACCGTTCCTGACTATGACTCATAACCAGCATCCCAAAACAAGAAGAGTTTGTACACTTTCACTTATTGTCACTGATCACTAACTCAAAAATTATCCAGTTCCTGATTAAATCCATTCCTCTCCTTGCAGTGGCCCTCAGCTAATTGAGAACAGAAGCAAGAGAGAAAGAGAGCGCCCTCTTCTGTCAGGGCCTGCCCCCCCTCACCACCTGAGCATGACGATCACATTGCACAGAACAAGGTAGGCTGAGCAGGCAGCTACAGACAGCCATCTGTTTTCGCCATGGTTAGAGTTGGTTTTCCTAAGTGGACTACCAATTCCATGGTGCTAAGCAGCTCCACTGCTCACTCCCCCCCTCCCTGCCAGAGGGGGATGAGGGAACAAAACAGGATTGATTTCTAGGTTACATGACCCACCCATCTCAAGCACCTCATGGGCCCCTTGCTTAGGTGCTCCCTTTGTAGTCAGGTGTTTTACATCTGTTGTTCCTCTTTCCAGAGGAAACATTCCTCCTAAAAGCAGAGCCTTCTGGAAGGTAGAACCATCTCTTCTTTCTCACAAAGATAACAGTCTTATCAGAAAGCAGAGGCAGGGAGAAGGGATCACATGAAGAGATTACAGTGTATGTCAAACAGGATGGCCACACCAGCATCCCCACTCCCATTCTTGCTCTTTGTCCTGTACTTCCCATGAGCAAACTGGCACTTGGGAATGAGTTTTATGCTCAGTTCCTGTAGCTCAAAAAGAAGAGAGAGTGTGGAGCTGGGTAAGAACATGACTGGAGTCAGACCTGGGGTGGAACCCCAGCAGGACCACCACCGATCCAGACGACCCGTGCACACCGAATAACTCCCTGAGCCTCAGTGGCCTCTCTTACCAAACGAGACAAATACCAGCTGTCAATCAGGATTGGTGAGTTATAAAATACATAATGGAAACATAACTTTAAAAATGTGTGCATTCTTTCTTTAGTGTCAGTTTAAGTCAATATGTGTCTGGTACTAAATGAAAGGCATTGTCCTATATGAAAGGCTTATCAGGTGTCAGTGAGAAAAGTAAAGGAGTAATTAGGAAAAATGGGGTTAAAGTGGAGGTAGCTGCCAGGCCTACTTAGTTGCAAAAACACATAAAACCACAGCCCCCTCATGAGCCTGTAACCAGGGCTGCATTGCCTATGAGGCTGCAGCAGAAAGGCAGCAGGAGGGGTGGGCTGGGTCAGGGCTGTGCATGGTTCTAGGGATACTCTCCCTAAGCGAGGAGGGGCTGAGCCACAGGACAGCCAAAAGGCAAGAGCATCAAAGTGATGGGATGGCTCTGTTCTAACACATTATTCCAGGTAGCATAACCTCCACTCTCAGCAGACATGGAGTCCAAACGGCTCTCTCCCATCCTTTGCCTCCTAACAGCCTGGAGAGGCACCCAGAAGGCAACTACCATTCTACTTTCTGGTTCAATGAATTTGACTGCTTCACATAAGTGGACTCATATGTATTTGTCCTTTTGTGACTGACCCATTTCACATTGTCTTCAAGGTTTATCTATGTGCTAGGATCCTTCTTTAAGGCTAAATAACATTCCATTGTGCGTATGTACAGACCACATTTTGTTTATCCATTCATCCATCAGTGGACACTAGGGTTGCTTCCACCTTTTGGCTATTGTGAATAATGCTGCTATTAATACAGGTATAGGATTACCTTTTCACATCCCACCTTTTAATTCTTTTGGGTATACACCCAGAAGTGGGACTATTGACTCATATGGTGATTCTATGTTAAGTTTTTTGAGAAGCCACCACACTGCTTTCCACAATGGCTGTACCATTTTACATTCTCACCAACAGTGCACTAAGATTCCATGTGAGGTTTTATTCCATAGGCTGGGTCTAATCTATCTGCAATGATCAGGTTCAAGTCACTGCTGACCCAACCTTTCTGGCCCCTGCCAGGCCTCTTACTTTTCAGCATACACTTGCAGCTCCCCTAGAGATGTGGTATGCTCCCACTACTTTCCTGTCCTCCTCCAGTTTCCTTTGGTTCTTGGCTCATATTTGTCTCGGGCTGGTGGCTTCCTTGGGTGAGAGATGGGGCTTTGCACAATGCCAAGCATGACACCCACAATGAGTGCCCACACGTGGGATCAGAGCCAGTGCTGGTTAAAGCTGTGGTGTGGAAACCCAGCTTTGTCATCCTCACTACTCCAGCAGCACCCAACCCTCCGCCCCCTACTGATTCCCTTCTCAGCTGCCTCTTCCCTTCCTTATTCATAAGAGTCTTATTTTCCCCCTGCAACTGATCACACCTGACAACACAACTGGACAGCAGTATTTCATCTTGAAGGTGAAGATTTTGAGGATCCATCTGGAATACTCCCAAGGAAATGAAAATAAAACATGGGGGGTGGAGGCTCAGAACAGAATTCCACCCCCCAAATTCCACCATTACATCACTGCACCATTAAGACAAATGTTTAAGTCCTCTCATACAGGCTCTTCATGCAAATTAGAAAACAGTGCCATTTTTGGCACAGGTATGCATCTCAGCTAAAAGGCTGAACATTGTGCAAATTACAAACTAAATACTGGCCAATGATGCAAAGGCACTTCTCTGGGAATATTCAGCCTTGCTGGTGCATGGCTTGGTGACCAGGTGCCATCTCTTTCTCAAGATCCTGGAAGGTACACAGCTTTGTGAACAGAGTAGCCACTATTTTTAGCTCCCACCCAACTGCAGTGAAAACCATAGGGGTGGCTTTGGGCTATTGATAGTTCTGATGTCTTCCCTCCTGTCATCACCACTGTATAGACAAGTCATTAACAGCTCATGCCAGCAGAATGATTTTCTTGGAGGACAATAAAGTGAGGGCCTATTTACCACTCACCTAGTGATACAAGAGCAGACAAAGGTCTCCTTGCATTAGGCAGACAGACAGCCCAGAAACCATGGACTACCAGCCCGACATGCCCCATCATACACCACCACGCTTAAGCCCTGGTTCTCTCACCCAGTCCTCCGCCACACACACACACATACACACGCACAGCCAGCACCTCACCTGAGCAACCTCCTCAAAGTCATCATGCCTCTTCTGCAGGGCTCGGGCTCGGTGCAGGGACTTCCCAACCCCTGTGTGTTTGCTGAGAAAGGCCTCACCGTGGTTTTCAATCCAGTCTAATACCTGGTCAGAGGAGGAAGACAGAAACAATGACTTTTGGGCAGAAGGAATGACATGTGACAACATATCTGACCACAAGAGTCCTAGAGACCCCATCCAATCAGAAAGCAGCAAGCAGTCCAGGTGGAAATGTTCAGTCACTGGATATAGCGGATTTCATTACTGCTATTGGCAATGTAACAGTCCCATCGTTACCTGAATTCTGTTCATCCTTTTTTATCTCTGGAATATCCCCTCAGTGCATTTTCAGTTTTCTCAACCTTAATTAGTCCATTTTTTAGCCCAGTTTAAGCCCTCACTACCGTTATTCCAACCACATCAATGAGGTAGTATCAGGTCAGGGCAGTTCCCTGGCCCTCCCTCTACCATGAAAATGATCACAGCAGTGGCAGCCAGTGATAGACATCCTGCCTCATCATCCTCCTGGGACTCTAATCTTGGAAATGAAGTCCAGGGTAGTCAGCCCACAGCTGGAGCTGTGCACAAGATAGCTAATTACCAGGCCAACTGCCCTCTCTGGCTTCTTTCCCAATTAACACCTACCAACCAACCAAATAAAGTAAGGTCTTTCCATCTTTAAGGTGTTTAGTATCTGTGATTCTCTTGGGAAGCAGTGGCAATTCCATGTTCTTCCAGGCTTAAGACCTAGTGATGTGGCCTCAGGACGTGTCCCTTGGTGTTTAGGGAAGCTGGAATAGAGGTTGCTGGAGCAGTAGAGACATGAGTGAGGGGACACTGAGATAGCGAGAAGATAGGTTGTCTTGAGGGGCCCTTGACAGAAGGGGTGGAAACCCTTAGTAAAAGTCTTGGAATGTATGGAGGACCAAAGCCTTTAACATCCATTCAAATTTGCTCAGGTAGCCTGACAGAAATGTGGGAGAGAGGAAGCAGTTTGTTCTCTGGTCTCTGAGGAGTTGGCGCTCAATAGATCAGGTGGCCACGGTGAAATCAGAATAGTACAGACACACCTGTTACAAATCCTGCCAAGATAACTGAGTCCACTCTACTCCTACTACACTAAACTTTAACTGAACATTTGATTAATGATGTATTAGCCATCTCAGATTTAGAAGGACCCTTGGGAAAATGATTTAGATGAACTAGGCCTGTTTACAAGGATGCTTTAATCCATTTCTCTGTTTCTTCTACAGACTGCCCTATGGCAAGAAAGTCACAGCATGGTCTGCAGGCATGGGAGTTCTAGCTCTACTGAATCCAGCCTTTGGCTCCACTTCCTCTGATGTTTGAGATAAATTAATTAAAGTGCCCATAATTGTGCAAACTATAGAAGGCTTCAAAGTCTTCAGTGACAGTATCATAAGGCCCACAGCAAGATGGTGTTAGAGAAATGTAGACATGAATGTATTAATGAGGTTTGACAAACAGCCATTAACAAAGCCAAAGGCCAGGTAATTATCTATTAAAGTGAAGAAAAGGCTTTTTTCAGAATGACTTTATCTAAACATTAAGTGTAAAGATTTAAACAGTTTATATAACCAATTCTGGCAATATACATATGCATATTTTTTAAACTTGGAGGCATATCTGTAAAAAGAAATCAAAGTACTGAATGAACTGTATTTTTATTTTGCAAACGAATGAAAGGCAGCATTGAAAGGAGCTCTAAACGTTCCTTTCTCAGAAGAAAGAAGAGCCTACGTTTTCTTAGAATTATGTACGCTGAAATTTCAACAAAAACAAAAAAATCAGGAGAATGCAGTTTTACTTGATTTACCACAATTTGATCCCACAATTCTCTATTGCAAGATCCCACAATTCTCTCGCATGCAAGATCAAAGATAAATGGTTCTAAGTATGAAGTTTTTCATATATTGTATACCATGGGTAGTGCAGTTTTATAATTTTTATGCATATTTAAACTCTTATTAATCCCCTTTTAAGAATGAATTGAAGCTTGGGGATAATTTTTATATATAAAAGAGCTGATTTGCAGCCTTTCATGAATGCTTTGGAATTTATGACAAGTTTTCAGATTACAGCTTTATTTCTTAATTTAGTTTTGAACAGTTAAGTGTGACCTGCTTGTCTAGCACTGTTTTCAGAAATTGTATTTAATTCATTTCATTTTTATCTCCAGCTCTAATAAAATTGGTTATTTTAAAGCAAACCGGTTAAAGAAATTTGCTTTTCATCCACTAGTTTGCAAACGGTTAGCTTTTATACTCTCTGGGGGTAATTTCACAACTTTTAAACTTTTAAGTGAAATAAGCCAGTCAGAGAAAGACAAAAAGCACATGATTTCACTCATATGTGGAATCTAATGAACGAACTGAACTAACCAGCAAAACAGAGCCAGACTTAGAGACGGAGGACAGATGGCAGCTCTGGGGGCAGAAGGTGGTCTAAGGCATGGAAGGATCCAGGCGAAAGGAGAAAGGGTTCGTGGACATGGACAACAGGGTGATGATTGTGAGGGATGAGGAGGGGGATATAAGGAGAGTAAATGGTAATGGAAAAAATACAATAAAAAGAAGTAAAAAAATAATAAAAATAAAAAGCAAATTGTTTTCTGTTTAAGCTCTTTTGCTTTCTTTAAAATGTCAATTCATTTTCAATTATTGAGTTTACTTAATTAGCTCTACTGTAACCACTTAAAAAGCTATTTACTTCACATCTGAGAGGCTTTTACTTAGTTTAAACATAACTTTGTTCTGTGATGTACATTGCCTCCATTTAGTCCAACTTCTGCCATTAGAACAATTATATATATAAAGGACACATGGAGGATAATGGGGGCATGGAAATGGGAGGGAGGTGGGGAGGGCTGGGGTATTGGGCTGGGGTGGGCGGAAAAGGCAGAAAACTGTACTTGAACAATTAAAAATACATTAATAAATAAATAATACGAGAACTGAAGCTGTGGGAAAAACCTGTGCAACCTCAATGAGGATTCAGGGACCGCATGGAAAACAATTGAATAAATGAAAAAGCAATGATTTAGGAAGTAAACAAAATTACTTGAGTAATACAAGGAGACAAAAAAAGTACCGGAGAATAAACATACATAATCAACACAAGCTATTGTTTAAAATGCTGATTTCTGACCACTTTGGATCAGATAGTTCACTTAGAGCCATCATGGCTTGATACACACACTTGGACCCCATGCTCTCTCAACCCTGAATCCATGTCTCCCAGCCCTGAGAGTGGAGCCCAGCTGCCCACACAGAGTAGCCAGTATAGCAATGTGCCTCTGAGCAGAGAGCAGCAGTGCCTGACAGTCATGTACACATCATAAATGCGCAGCATTGGAAGTCTGGGTGTCCCGCAGTTTCTGGTGAGTCTCAGACTCTGAACACCACTGGTTAAAGAAAAAATTGCATTCCTAGCCAAACCCTGGACCTTACCAAAGTGTATGTACCTATCAAAGTACTTCTTATTAGCTACCCTTGTTTAATTTCTCTCATCTATAGTAGTTTTTAAATATTCAATTATCAATTATAGTTAGGATAGTACAGAATGACAGTTAATTATACCTATTAATGGCTTTGAATTGGTATTTGTTCCCAACATAGAAGGTTTTACCTTTTTGTTTGTGTGCGAGGAGAGGTCTTTGGGAAGCAGAGGAGCAATGTGGGATGTGAATACTCACATATTCAGATATTTATTAGCTTTACTGTGCCTCAGCGCTGGGCACGAGGACAGCCAAGGGACCTTACTGAACAAAGCACGTCGGGCCCTGACTCTGGAAGCTCAGGCTATGTGAGTAACGAGCACCAGACCCCAGATCACACAATTCATCATTAAGTGCAATGGTGAAAAGTAGTAACAGTCAGGAGCTCCTAGCTGGGGGGTCAGGGAAGGCCTCTCTGAAGACATAAGGTTTAGCTGAGATGTGAGAGGGAATAGGACTTAAGTTAGGAATTAGAAAGATTAGCATGGCTTGGGTAGGAAGTAAGGAGGAAATGGGCCCAGAGAAGGCAGGAACCAGATGCTGCTAAACCCTGAGTCAGATTCCAGTGTTCATCCTAAGAGCCACTAACAGACTGCAAAGAAAAGAAAGATATCATGGAATCTGCATTTAAAAATTATGGTCCTGACTGCTTTGTGGAGAATTAGTTGGAGGACAGCGAACAGAGACGGGAAACAGGAGGCTATTGCAGAAATCCCAATGGGAGATGACGGTGGCTTACACAGAGCCATGGGGAGTGTCTGCAGAAAGACAGGTTTGAGTAATATCTGGGGGAGTATTTGGTGATTGGTTATGAAGGTGGTAGAGAGGCAGGTGGAAGGTTGACCCCAGGCGCATGGCTTGAATAACTGCATGGAAGGAGAACCTGGTCACTGCAGAAGCAAGTAAGTTACAAGGGACCTCATAGAGATGACAGACTTCTTAAGTTTTCTTTCAATTTTCATATTTGTGTTCTGGTTTTGATAAATGACAGCTGTGCCTCTGAACTTGAGTGGGAAGTAGCACCCAATGATAGTGTCAATCTGCTTCTGGCAAAATCTGCCTTTGGTTTCAAAGAAATAATTTTATACACTATGGTTTAAAAATAAATTATATATTGTTAATATAGCTGGATCCCCAAAATTAAAAAATAAGAGACAGCAAATCCATTTGAAGAACACAAATTTAGTCTTAAATGAAATTAACCCATGCATCCTTGAAAGGGCATTTCACTGGGATGCAGTTTTTGAGGGGCTCCTTCACCTGACAAGCAGAGTCCTCCGTGGCCTGCCCCACCCCACTTTCTACCCCACTTCCAGCAAGTTTCTGCCTCACACCTAAATATCCCAAAAGCTGTTTCCCACCTCCTGAGTTTTGCTGTCGCTGTATTTAACTTTACTTGAAATATCCCCATTCCAGGCTCCTTCCCACTCATTCTTTAAGCACCATCTCAGAATCACTAGTTTGGGATGCCTTTTTCTCTTTAATAACCCACCCCAGCTGGGGTGGTGTCACTCTCCTCCAATTCTGTTCAAACCACAATTATTGCCCATGGATCTGTCTCTCCCACCAGACTCCAGACTCCTTGTGA